AAAAGTTTTCTTTATATTTCTTTAAAAAATCTCCACATTTACTATTTGAAAATTTTATATATAATTTATATATAAATCTTGTGTAATCTGCATCATATAGCTCTCCAGATAACTGGTGAATCATCTATTAATAAGTCTTCTTTCAAATATGTAATACCAATACTTCTCATATAGGACTAGTGGTAATAGCAGGTATCTGATTTAAGAAACATACACAAGAGGTTACCTTTAGAAAAGTATACTAGTTTAAATGAAGTACCAAATAACAAACATACCAAATTGGAAAGTTATTAAGGATTGATTACTTGAATAAACTAATTTGGGAGTTACTAAGATTTGATGGTAAGATATGGAGTAAATATAGTAGATAACTAGATATAGTCTAAACACCAAATTCAGGTATAACCTAATATGTGGTAAAAATGTAATATCACTAGTAGGTTTAGATTGTAGATAAGATTGTCTAAGTTTGTATTCTTAAATTAGATATATAGCTATATAAAGTATATACTTAGAATTATCTAAATAAAGATACGAGGCAAGACCTTATCTTAACACTGAAAAAAAAAACAAAGCTACCTCAACAATTATCTAAGCAAAATTGATAATCTTTTTTATTTTAATTTTACAATTCTGTAGAATTAAAAAAATTAATTTATTAGATTTGCTTTAATAATTGTCAAGATATCTTTATTCAAAGTCAAAACTTTTATTTCTACTTAATAAATATTTTAATTTATTACCAAACTTTGAATAAAAATATTTTGATAACTATCAAAGCAAATTTGATAAACTTTCTGTTATTTTAATTCTACAAGTCTTTAAATTCAAAATAAAAAAAATTTATTGAATTTGCTTTGATGGTTGTTAAGGTATCTTTGTTTAAAGTTTTAAAAAGATTAATGTATTTATGTTGATCATTTGCTATGCCAATAACATAGATAAGTCATATGCATGCTGTGTTAGTAAATTTCTTCTACTAGAAAACCATCCTTCATATTAATTTGTTAACTAACATCTAATACATATCACATAATCTAAGTTAAGTCTGTATTCTATGATATGTTTAAAAAATTACTTTATGTGGGTAAAAATAGGATTTGACTTTTGGGATATTCTATAGAATAGGTGGGCAAACTCCACAAACTCCACAACTTAGATATTAAAAAATTAATGATTACAAATCATTAGTAAAGCTTATTTCTTATATTGCCTATCTATTCTATAGAATATCTGACTTTTGAAAGACTTTTGACTTTTGGTAAAAGTTTAACTTTCAGTAAGATTTTTAACTTTTGGTAAGTGGTTCAACTTTGGTAAGACTTTTGAACATTTGGTAAACCATATTCTAATTGAAAGTACTTTCAGCAGACTTTAAATTTAGATTAATATCAAAAATAATCACTTTTGGTGCTATCTTCAGAGAGATTCTTTTTGACAAAAGGTTATAAATTAGACCCAAGTATGAATTAATACCTTTATTAATTAAAGAATACAAAACTATATGCACTTTAAACTTTGTTTGTTACAATATAAATACTAATGATATACTATATCTTGACTTTTTGCACATCTACTATATCTAACTATTCTATAGCACTTAAATTGTAGCAAATGTTAATATAAAAACTGTTTTTTTAATATTATTTTTAGTTATAAAATTTTACTCTTAATCTTCTGATCCTTATTCTCTAGATACCAACAAATTTTATTAATTTTATACTAATTTTTTGATTATAGATACATTTTCATTGATAGTTTCTTGAAAATTTACATGTGGCAATTAGATTTTTAGACACTAATTACATAAATTATTTATAGTTGTAGATATTAAAAGATAATATTATTGGTCCAACTTTTACACATTTTACAAGTTTATAAATTTAATAAAAAAACATTCAATCTTAACTCTACAAATTCTCAACTTTTATATATTTACAAGTTTATAAATTTAATAAAAGAATTCAATCTTATTTCTAAAAAATATTTTATTATTATTATTACAAATTTTCAAATATTATTTTACAAAGAACCACCCTTAACAGTTTTAACTCTTAAAAATCAAATTAAATAATAACTTTCATGAAGACAATTATCATCAGTCGCATACAATATTCTGTCGCTAAAGTAAATTAATTATGCTGAACTTATAAAAGGTAGTTCAGGTGTAACATTATAAAAAAAATCACTTTAATCACACTGTCTATTCAATGTATGAAACTCGAACCAGAGACTTGAAAATCTTTGAACAATATTTATATGAATTTCAAATTCTATAAATAAAATCAAAATTCTTATGGGTCCCTATCGAACTATGTACTTTGTGTCTGTGCTTCGGATATTCATTTTAATATGTTTCGGGTAACTTTATTTTATTATAATTCTAGAATAACTTTGTCATATTATATTTCAAATATAACAATAATAAATCACCTTTAAAATGATTATACTCTTGATCATAAATAGATTGATAGAATTTTACTAACTTTAAAAATAATTAATATGTTCAATATTAAATTATTATTTAGAATAATTAATATGTTCAATATTAAATGATTAAAATTTATTATTTAGGAAATTCAAATAAACAATAATTAATATGTTCGATATTAAATGATTAAAATTTCTTATATTTAGGGTATTCAAATAAACAATAATTAAATATTAAATGATTAAAATTTATTATGATTATGATATTCAAATAAACAATAATTAATATGTTCGATATTAATGATTAAAATTTCTTATATTTAGGATATTAAAATATTAATAAAAAATAAGTTTCTATAATAAAATTGTGTACTATTAAAAATTGGGTGAGAAATTCCCAAAATCTTTTTGATAAGGAGATTAAGGATGTGGAACACGTATAAATCTATTTGGAGAACCCTTAAGATCGCCCTTTACTACATTTTTTGTAGATAATTTGTCGAGGAATTGCTTCATTTCATCAGGAGATCTATTTCCGCTAGATGCAATAATCAAAGCAACTGTTCCAGCGACTATTTAATAGAAAGCTTGGGATGAATACTATATAAAACATAATTCGGTTAATAGAATATTTATAATCACAAACCGTGAGGGGATGCTTGACTGGTTCCTGAAAATGTTATTAAGTCATCAGGAGACCTATTACCAGCTGCCTTGATATCTATGCCTAATTATACAATAGTAATCAATTATTGTATATTTGAAAGTATTTATGACTAATTTGTGGAATCGGTTTTTTTATTTAAAATCTTTAATATTTTAATATGTCAAGTTAATAAAAAATCAATTCCACAAGTTCGTCGTAATGCAAGTTTTAAATTGTTACCTGGTGCAAAGATATTAACACATTCACCAACGTTTGAAAAGAAGAAAAAAGTAAAAATATCCAAAAACCAATATTTAATTGATCTTGGTTTACTAATTAAAAATGACCAAATGAAATTTTATATATCGTATATATCACACTAATTCTATAGTTTCTAATATTAATACCTTAACTCTAAATTTTTATTTCATACACTTAATTTATTTACAAAATTAGATTTTCTTTTTTGTTTTGTATTACCTATGCAAATAAGTAAAATGAAGATAATCTGGAGTATAAATTTTATGCTGAGTTCAATTTCTAGCTAAATAGAAACTAACCCAGAATTGTTAACAAAATTTATACTTATATAAGGGCCTGCAGAAATTATCTAATAGGTGATCATATGAAAATTTATTCATTTTTAAAAAAGTTAAAGAAAATTGCTTTGTTTTTGAAAATTAGTATAAGAAACTACTTTCGAACCCAGACTAGTTTGCAAACTTCAGACTAGACCTGAACCAAACACACAATTGAGTCTAAATCTGGTCTGAAGACTAAAATTAGTAAAATTTAGAGTTTGAGTTTGGTCTGATCTCAGATCAAACTCAGACTAGACCAAACCCAGACCAGATCTAGAAACACTATTATACACTTAGAAAAGTGTACTTAGAGAGATCTGATTATATCAGATAAATAAACAAATCAACTTATATCAGGTCATCAAGTTTTGTAGTGAAAAATTTTGCTTTTACTATTATTAGTTATTGCAATTGAATATTGTTAGTGATGGGCAATTTGCAGTTTTTTTAAAAATTCTGTGCAGAGTGCAGAATCACATATATGATCTGCATGTAATTTATGAGATTGTTACCAGAATCTGTAAATTTTAGCCTGAATTATGATATTGGCCTGAATTATCTTATGCATTATATGCTAGATCACATGCAAGATTTCACATAATGCTTATTACTAAAAATTATTGCTCATATATATAGTTATGATAGAATATATAGCATGATGAATTTATATATATAGTCTAATCTCTATAATTGCACCCCCTCAGGACCGTAAGACAATTTTTTAAAAATATTCATTTAGAGAGAGTATGCATTTATAGAGAGTATTTTTACTATATTTTTATAAACTTGGGACCATGCTGGGGCATCCATTTAGAGGAATTTATATATGAGTACAATTATAGAGAATATAATTATGGAGATTCAACTGTAAAGAATAATAGTATGATGCATTTATGTATAAAAAATAACCAAAATTTAACAAATAAATTATGCAGACCAATCATATATAAAATTTTGTAAATATATATTACTTACTTTACAGAAACTTAAAAAAATTAATATTAGGTTTAAAACTAGTAAATAATAGATTTAAAACATATTTACAATATTTTTTTAAATAATTAGTTTATAACTAAGTTATAACTAGAAGTTATTATAGCTTAATAATATTTTTTAAAAAGACATTATTATAATATTATAATCACTAATTAATAACTAGTTATTAACTAGTTATTAATTAGTAATTATAATATTATAATAATGTTTTTTTAAAAATATTACTATAATATTATTAGGGTAGCTACGCAGCATGTGACGTGGCACAGGACCAGTACGATCACTTACGTCATTGTGAAAAGCTCAAGAAAATCAATTTACCTATTCTCTTTTTTTTTTTTTCTTCTATTATTAGTTTTAGTTTTTTTT